AGGGGGCAGCGGCGCAGGGATGACGAGTCAGGAGGAGTTTTGAGGGCGATTCAAGAGGCGACGGATCGAGAGCCGGAGGAGCTCTCGGTTGCTACGCGGCAGCACCTCTCAACACACAACGTCGGCGGCCTTTGAAGCCACCCTCGCGCTCCCTCTGCCGCCGACCCCATTTCCCGTCTTTTCGACCTCAGGGCGTTCTGTTGCTCACCGAGGGCAGGGAGGGCACGAGCCAGATGCCGTAGGACACGCCCATGCGGCTCTCCGACGAGGCCGTCATCGCGCTGCCCAGGCTGAGCGCCTCGGCCGCCGCGGAGACCGCCCCGCCGGCCAGCTGGCGGCAGGGCAGCTTGTCGACCGAGTAGCCGTAGTAGAGCGCCGGGGGCACGCGCTTGTAGTAGAGGGAGGGGCTGAGGGTGGTGATGGCGCAGGTGGCGGCCTGGGCGTCGGTCGCGGGGGCGGTCAGCGACGCCCACAGGTTGAGGGCGGGGCCGGAGAGGTGCTTCTGGGTGTCGGAGTTGGCCTCGCAGGGGAAGGCGAGCTGGAGGGCGCCGCCGGCGGCGGGGGCGGCGCAGCGGCCGGGCCCGGCATCAGAGGAGAGCATCCGGCTGGTGACGGTGCAGACGCCCTGGAAAGAGGGCGGGGGGGGTGGGAGGCGCCGGCAGGCGTGTGTTAGGGGGGTCAAGCATAGATGTCGGAGGGAGGGAAGGTGGAGCACGTGGGCATGAGAAGCTGCGGCCTGCAAAGTGTGATGCTCTGGACTGCCGACCCGGAGCTGCTGAAGCACTGCCCAATGCTGGCGCAGCGCCCCGGGCGGGGGCAGACTTCTTACTCACCTCATTGACCTTCAGGACCATGCTGGGCTGGGAGCCGCTCTTGGCTGAGCCGCATGTGTCGAGCTGCATGGCTGCGGCGGGCTGCTTGCTGACGAGCGCAGATGCCTCGCCCTCGCCGTCGGCGAGCATGCGGGCGGCAGAGGTGCCAATCAAAGCAAGGAATAGGGCTGCAAGAGCCATGTTGGCGGTGGAGCGCCTCATTTTCAACCGGGCTATTGGGCGTGGGGGGGTCTCGGGATGTCGGTGATGGCGGACGAGAATTGTGTGGAAGTGTGTGGACTAGGCGCTGTTGGAAGTTGAGAATGAACTATGTAATACACTCTTTATATACTTAGCAGCTCCGTTACATCCGCGGCGGGCTTCAGCAACTGCTGGTGATACAGCAGCTGCGCGCCCCAGGGGCCCCACCACCTGGCCGTCACACCAGCTAGTAGATCAGCGGATGCGTTCGCGCCAGATATTTTTGCCCGGGCATGTCGACTAGCCCTCATGCAGGCTCAGCAGCGAGGGCTCAGTTTGATCCTGGACTATGGCGCGAACGAGGGCGAGTGCGGCTATTGCAAGGGCTTAGGAGGCCATAACAGCAGCCATGGTGAGTCGCTGATCGCAGCACGGGGCAAGGGCAGGCAGCTAGGGGCACTGCTGACGCGTCGCGCGCTGGTGGCGCGTCGCTGCATGCGCTTGCGCCCCTGGTGCGCCATGCCAACCGCTGCCTTTGATGCTGCTGTGCTCCTCCTTCCGCGTGCCTTGCAGGCATGCAGGCCTATCGCCTCACTGTATACGACTACCAAGGTGCGCAGCTGGCCGCCACGCCTGCATGTACAAAAAACGACCACGCATGGTGCTGCAACGCCGTCCTCGCGGCTGTTGGCGCCGCCGTCGTCGTGCAATCCCCACCACCAACAACCCACGCAGATCTTATCGACCAGGGATGGCGGCGGGCGGGCAAATACATGTACAAGGTGCCCGTGAGGCAGCGCCCCCGCTGGGCCAGGGTGCACTCAGGAGCCGCCCTCTCAAGCTTGCCCGCGGCTCCCTAGGGCGGGCTGCCGTGGCGCCAGGGCGGCGCACGTGGCAGCATGTTCAAACTGAGGACTGAGAGGCTGCGGGATTGCCATCAGAGAGCGCAATGGATTGGAATGCGACACGCCCTTTGGTCCCGAGGTGGGACCCTTCCATCAGGATCGTCACATGCATGCCGCCCACCACGCGCAGATGGACAACGCCACCACCTGCTGCCGCCACTACACCATCCGCCTGCCCGTGGCCGAGTTCTCCGCCTCCAAGTCGCAGCGGCGCCTGCTGCGGCGGTGGGAACGCTTCTTGGCTGGTGAGCCTGGGTTGCGGGGTGCAGCATCATCCTGCGCCGCGTTGTCTTGCGCCTTGCTGTCTGCCATCAAAAGTGTGCAGCACTAGCATCCCTGCAAGCCACACAGCGTTACGGAGGTGGATTCTGCAGCGTCAAGGTCAAATCCTGACGCACGGCCCATCATCGTCGCAGGGGAGGACGTGCCGCATGGCGGTGCTGAGGACACGGCCGAGCACACAGCACCAGCAGACAGCGCGGCTGGCGGCGACGGCGGGCTGACGACACCCGTTGCCACGTCCTCGACGGCGCAGGCGGGCGCCATCGCTGCAGCGGCGGCTCGTGAGGCACCGGGCGAGCAC